TTGGGTAATAAACATCTTAAAGTATCAGAAGATAATATGAATTCCCAGCTGGCTGGGAATTGAATATAAGAGTTATTTACAACATTTAATTTACATTGTTGAGATATTTTGTGATACTGGGGTTCATCATGAACAGAAAATAATTATCCATGCTTTTGTTTAAGCACTATGCATGTGCCTCACAAACCCTACCTATAACAGTTAAAAGCAGTTCTGAATGCTTTCACGCTTCTGACAAGTTTTCACAGGTGAGACCTGTAGTGATACAGCTACACTGGATTCTGGTGTAATTCAGTGCATTTTATAATACTACCTTGCTTTTGGAGCTTTCTCTCCAAAAGCAACTTCAAATTTCTTACAATACCTCTCGCTACAGCGACTAACTTGGTTATATCAGGTAGGTCCAGTCCAGCTTTTGCAGCAGCATCCTTGTTTGACATCATGGAACAATAAAAATGTCAGAGGTTTTTGTTGTTCCCGTCGCTTTCAAACAATGATACCATTTTCTAGATGCCAGCAGGAATCTCTTTTTTAGTTCAAACCATAATGTGCAAATATAAACAGCATTGGCATATCCAGGCATCATGTTGTTCATTAAGGAGAATGATCTCTGAGATGACCGTGTTTTAGTTTTAAAACCCACTCAGAACAAAAGCAATAGACATGGTGAAGATTCTTGTTACAGATTTTACAGGGAAATTAATGCTGTAGAGCAATGGCGTAACTACATAACAATAGCCAACATTATCTAGTTGGGCCCCATATGAAGTACAATACCCGCCTCCTGGTCACAATCTTTACTCACTGTAGCAGCAGCATTGTCGACTTCTACTTCCCCAGTTCTTGAAAGAACGTCTTTATTTTGGGAAGTTTTTTTTTTCGTTCTTCCAGCAGCTCTTCTTTGCTTTTTCTTTTCTGGAATCCACTTAAGTACCTCATTTTGGTATCCATCTTTGCTAACACATTGTATGTAACTGTTATGGTTTTAATCTACGCTCTGGATTATCTTCCTCTAATCTGGAAGTCGTATTGTAAAAAAATAAAATACTCAAATACATTGTTCTTTTAAGACCTTTATTGCAGTTTGGAAGATGTTATGAGTGTATTTTTTTTTTACCAACCGTCTAATGAACTATATACAGTTATTAACATAGTAATTAAAAGTACCACTGTCTGCTTTGCTATTGGTGTCGTGTTTAAACAGCTCACCATCATGCTGAAATCTGCATTGTCTTGGGGTATAAATAAGGTCCTTGCATAGGGGGCCAACCGGGTGTCAATGACGGGGCCCCTAAAAGGTCACGGGCCCCTAAGCAACTGCAGCCTCTGCTTACCGATTTACCAGAAGTCTATAGTTAGCTATAGACTTCTGGAGACAAGAGCTCAAAGGTCAATCAGAGAGAAGGAAGACGTCGCTCTCAAAGGAACATAAATAAACTGTTTGCAAGTTTACTCAAATATAAAGACCTTATGTTTTGGAGTCCTGAAATCTTAACTAGGTTTAATTCTTATGCTTCCTTATGCTTCCTGTCAAAGAATGGAACATGAGTATTTCATCCTATTCACATGGTGTGAAATGCACAGAACTTCACACATTATTTCAGGAACTTCCTTGGTGAGTTATAAATGTCAAAGGGGAAGAAGACAACATTTCTGAGATCATTTTACACAGTGAAGAAGAAGTAAAATGGAGGATAAGGAAGTTTGTCTATTAACATGATAGAACATTCTATTGACAAAAAATGTCCAATCATACAAGAAAAGTCACTTTTTCTTCACTTGAGCATAGATGTCCTCTGGTTTGCCAACTTTGACCTGAGTGTACTCTGTCTCCTGATCTCCACTCTCCCGCACCAAACTGAAGGAAGTTTCAGGCCGTCTTTGTTGAAAGTTCACCTCTCCATAATGGAGTTCTTCCTCTTGATTATTGGTCGCCATTTGAACCTCCACACCCGTTTGACTCTGAGGGGAAAAAAAGAGAGAAAATCATGAAGGTTTATACAGATAAAGCCAAAAACCTGCAAATAAAACTTACTGCAGTGTTGTAAATGGAAGTTGAGCAGTTATCCCTCTGAGTCTGTTGTGGAGTTGGATGTTTAAACCTAAACCACCTGGAAAATATTAGGATGTTAGAATATTTCTGTTGTGTTTCAGGAAAAACTCAGAGATTTTAAAGTGATTTGAAACAAACTGATAAAGCAAATCACATTAAAATGACGGGGCAAGAGATACACAAAGAACATGGCAAGATTTGTCTCTTTTACATAGAACAAGTTTTAGTTGTACGCACACAAATAATAAATAATCATAGATGTTTTTCAAGACACCTATGAATGTCAAATTAAGGGGCATGTTATGTTCTTTTTTTTTAGTGAGTTTAAATGTGGCTCCAACTGTGGAGATTTGGTCCAGATTGTGTTTTATCTGCTGAAATCCTTGCTGCACGAAAAAAAGGACCTGTGGTCTCAACAAGTCATTACTCCTTAACTGAGGTGAAAATTGGAATTTCACCAACAATGTCTGCAAAGACATTTATAAGACAGCCTGATATTTGCAAGTGAAAAATTAAAAACAAAAAGTGTTAAAAAAAACAACAACAACAAAAGGGCCTTTCATCTTGGTTTGTATTTTTTAAAACATTTAATATGAAAGAAGATTAAATCTGATGTAGGAATGGATTTCATTATTACAAGAACTTCAGAACTGTTTGCATTACTTAAATGTAGATTGTTGTCTCAGAAATATTGGGCCTTTTACAATGTTAAGGTTTATGACATGTTCTAATTGGTACTGATCACACTTCCCTGTGGTGAAACTCAAGGTCGATGTCATTGACACAATGACAAGTAAAAAAAATATAGAACCACAGGAGTAATGAACATTCTGATGATGCTCCAACAGAGAAATTTTCACCAAGCATTCACTAAAAATACTGATGTCTATCTTAAAAAAAAACATTATGACACTAACCATATGGAGATCATCAGGCAGATCAACACAAAGACAAAGAACACTGGAAGGATGATAATCCAATTAGCTCTTCCTGGAAAAAACGAACAAAAAAAACATACTTTCATAGGAACGTATACGGATATAAAAAAAAAATGAATGTGAATTATTGATGGGGCTTGTATTGCAGATAACTGATATGGAGAAGCAATAGTTATGGTGCCAGCTTTTAATAATAATAAATAATAATAAATAATAAATAAATAATCACCTTTAAAACTAGGAATGGTGACTGACGATCTTTGAGTCCCCAGATCATTTGTAGCCTCACAGTAATATTCTCCTTCCTCAGTAACAGTGAAGCTGTAAACCTGCCCCACAGATACATTAATGGCTCCATCTGTGCTGTTCCTGAACCAGGAGAAGCTGGCAGGAGGCTTGGCTCTGCTGGAGCAGTTCAGCTCCACCCAGCTACCTGCTGACACCAAACCTGATGGACTGATGGATGCTGAGGTGTCTTTAGGAGCATCTGAGGAAAATGGGACACACATTAACTTTATTGATCAGAAACAGCTGAACCATGACGTGCTGACAGGATCACTAACATGAAACACTGAGAGTCACTTCTGTCTCTGCTGTCTTGCTTCCTCCATTCACAGGATATCTGGCAGAACAGCTGATGTTGTATCCATCATGTGTGTCTGACAGAGTGATGGTCTCCTGGATTTTAGTTGTAAAGGTTCCATCTGTGTTTTTCTCTGTTTGTCTCTCAGAGTCTTGTTGGAGATTCCAGGTGAGTTCAGGAGGTGAGTGTGGACAGGGAGTCACAGCTGAGCAGCTTATAGTGACAGACTGATGCTCCTTCAGATCACCAACAGGGATATTAATGCTGGGGCGCCAAGGAGAATCTAGAGGTTCACATCAGACAGACATTTTAAACCAGTGATGTAACGAAGTACAAGTACTTTGTTACTGTACTTAGGTAGATTTTTTATTTATCTGTACTTTAGTTAAGTAGATTTAACCATGATATTTTATGATTTGTGTCACATTGTGTTTTTCATTTATTTGTTTAGTTTTGTTGAAAGTTTTAAAGTAATCAAATGCTAGATGGGGATTGGTTCACTCAACAACTGCAAGGCGGACAAGTAATATTGGACCCGCCTCCCCCAAGAAGAGCCCCATTCCATGGCAACATGCATCCAGCCCGGATAGTCAGCCAACAGAATTTTCCATCCTTGGCCTTATTTGAAATACTTATCCTCTTAATTGGCTCAAGAAATGACTCCTGGAGATTCCAATGCCACTTTGTCTCCCCTGAAGGCACAAGCTTCTAGCTTTCAAAAACTCACACTCAAATAAAAAAAAAATATTTAGGTAAGTCTTTTGCATGTAGTAGTAGTTTTTGCATGTTAAAGACATAACTAAAAGCTTAGCTATCTTTTACAAAAGTGCTAATGCCGAGAAGTGAACACGATTAACATGCATAACGGTCGGGTTCTTCATCTATGTTTGCTTTGATGCTTATCAGTGTGTGTGAACACTGAGAAAAGTCACTATATCAAACCACAATCCAGTCCTCTTTAGCTTCTTTAAAAAAATAACACACTACGAATCTAGCATTGTTTTCCCTTTGTTACTGGAGAAGCACCATGCTATTTTCAGTTGGGGTGCTGCACAGATGCTTCTAGCAACACCTGCCTGGGCTAATGGAGAAAGCAACTCTTTCAGGTTCCATTATTTCAAATAAATCACACATGTGCAAAGCTGTGAAATGTACTGCTCTGGAATATAAAGAAAAATATAAAGCAATATCGTATATAATCTTGAATATGCATTTAATCCATACATCATAATTACTTATTTAACTCCCTTTTTTTTAACGTTTCTGGTTTGCCAAATGTCACTACAAATTAAAAATTTTACGCTAGATAATAGTCCTGATCAACTTCTTTTATGGCTTGTTATACACTGCAAATAAAGTCGACTAAGCAGATGCACATTCATCTGGCTAATGAAATCATATGGATAATGTGTTGAGTCAGATAATCTTAACAAAGAAACTGATAGATTAGTTAATTTCCATATGTGAATTCTTCATTTGATTCTGTATAGTCTTATCCAGTTTGTTTAAATTCTGATTAAAACACACTAAATCTTTTTCAAAGCACATCACTCATCTCCAGCAATATGTTGCTCTCACTGCTATTGCCACCGAAAGGAAGGAACTTGAAACCAGAGAAGGGGAACTCCGCCCTTGAAGTTTCGTGTCCTTCAATTTTTACATTTTTGAATGATGCAAGACGTTCTCAGAGTTGTACAGTATTTTTAAATCATGAAGTTCATGATTAAACTGGAGTTAAAGATTACAGTTGAAAAGATCAGTTTCTGTTAGTCAGTGAGATTGATGTAGAAATTTGCTAATCTAACTTCAGATGAAATAAAACATGGCATATGTTTTGTTTAATTAAACACTTTAAAAGGTGTAATGTATCATCTTTCTTGCACTTGATATTTCACTAAGCAGATCAATCAAAAATTGTAAGTCCCAAGTAAGAATTTTGACAAACAAAACAAACAAACAAAACATGCATTATTCACAGCATGTTCATTAAAATAGTATTATTGGCATATTCATGAAAATTTACATATTGTAGGTACACTTAATAATCTTTGTGAAACATAATTTCAGTTAATTTAGAAAGTACTTTTAATACTTCAAGTATTTTTAAAAACATGCTTTGTTACTTTTATCTTAGTACAATGTCAGTGTGTTATTTTTATTAGAGTATTTATTTGTTTATTTGTACTTGTACTTAAGTACGGTTTCTGAGTACTTTTCGCCAATGTTTTAAAATAATAAAACAAAATAACTTATATTTGTAATTATTATTATAAAGAGGAGACCAAGACAGTTCATTTTTAACAGTTTATGTGCATCAAAATATGGTTTGTTTGTTTATTTTTTTTCTTTTAGTATTTATTAGATTTTAGAAATAACTTAGTAACTGACTGATAATCTGTTTCTACGTATAAATATTCAGGCAAAAAATTTGATCTGGTAAATTTTTATCCCAGCCCAAACAATTACAGTACAATAGGGTGATTTAACATGATTTAAAGATAAATTCAAATGGCTCTGACCCCATAAAACAAAGATAAGTAATGATTCATATACATATATAAAACAATGAAATGTTCCATATCGTATATATCTTATATAAAGAGGAATGTTGGTTTTCTTAATTATTTTTTTTTTATTTAGCTATGGAATGGTAAAAAAAATTATTCCTAAGTAAAGGCAAATATGACATAAATATCAAAGATGATCATAAACATGTGAAGTGAACAGCTAGAGATTTTTTTACATAGTTAAACATTCTTGCTATTTATCATTTGAATTTTTTTTGTCGAGAAAATGTTAATATAAAATAAGTTGAAACTGATGTATTTTTCTTATTTGGTAGAGTTGTGTAAAGTAAAATTCTTACCTTTGACTTGTATCTGAAGAGCTTGTGAACAAGCTGTTGCCTTGTAGTTTCCATTCTCTATTCTGAGGTAGTATTCACCTGCTTGACTTCTCTTTATATCAGAGAACAAAGTGGTGCAGTTTTTCCTACTCAGGTCTCCAGTTATTTTTATCTGATCGCTATTAACTCCATGATTGATGTTAAAGATTCCTTTATCACTTTCAATCCATGCTCCAGTGGTGTTTTGTGCACTGTTGAATTCATACTTTCCTTGTTCAGCTCTGAAGCTACATGGCACATGCAAGCAAGATCCACTCAGTGCTTCAACAGGCTTTGGTGTAGAAATGAAGACAATCGCTTTGTGTCCATTAAATTTATCAGCATAAATACCTGTAAAAACATAAAAAAGACTGAAGTTGAAAACAATGTGGAGCAAAATCTGCTTTTATTGAAACTTCATGATCAATTAACTCCAGTTCAGCTGCAACACGTTGCATGAGGAGATTTTACACATTATTAAGACCTATTAATCGAGACCAGAGGGGATCATTCAGAGAACAAAGATCTCACCTGGAAGAGCAAAGACACTCAGTACCATGCTGACTGCAATTATGTCAATCATGTTCTTAAACAGAGCTGCCATCAGTATCTGATAGTCCTTTATCTCTTAGCCTAGAAACATAAAGATAACATCTCAGTTAAATAAA